GAGCTTTATTAGCTCCACCTTGCGGAAATTCCGGATACTATTATTTTGCTTGTCGTATTATAGGAGAATTTACAGTAACTCGCGGTATTTACCGGTAGCTTGCGGTAGACTGCGTACAGCGTACCGCAAAATAATGCGGTATCGCCCGCGCATTTTGAATGGCTGCATCTGTACCTCTAATTATACCAACCACTGGGGTATGTTCTTGGCGAGATCTTTATAAGTTGGGGGTTATGATAATTTATTTTAATTACTGATTATCCTACTCTATTTATGGTATACTCTGTTTCAGCAACCAGCTATTTGTAACAATATTAGCATATATTAGTTTTAATTAATGCGGATCTGGATCACAATTAACCGTCCGCCAGTGACAGATTTTATCTTCCAAAAGGTCCTGGAGTTACTCTTTCAGAAACCCAGGCTAATTGCTTGCTCTGACTCTAGTGGTGGTCTTTGCCACAAGTAATACGTGGTTAAAGACTGAAAGTTAAGTGTTGGGTTATGGCTTTTTGAAGGAAAAAAAGGCTGTTATCCGTGTTCACAATGGACTTTAATAAATGTTTATGTTTGCTGTTTAAATAGTTACTTTGTGATCATTTTTTCTCTCGCAACAAACAACCCCTATTGCAAACCCCTATGTACACTTTCATGCCATGCCACTTTATGTCATTTGTGGGAGGTTACTGCAAGGCCTAAGCTAATTTCTTGCAGTTAACTCCTCTACTGATTTATCTGAAAGCATCATTCTGTGTTCAGATTTATAGTGAATATTTCAGATTTAGTGCACACAGGAGTAAAGCACAAATTGTCATCTCAGCCAAGGTGTAATGTTAAAGTTCAGCATCAAAGTCATTCTAATTTAAGGTATTTTTTTACCATCTGGTCTCAAAATGTCAAAATGTAATATGAGTCACATGATTTCATTATTATTTCCATTATGCTACTGTATAATGTCAACTGAAATCAAATGTGTTTTGTGTTTCTTATTTACTTACTTGATATAGGAGGTGGCACTGAGCTTTGAATAGGATATCCAGGCTGTGCAAATGGCTTGATGCTGAAAAAGAAGAATATTAATGGAATGATCATATCCTTTATCTCTTAACTATAGCTTATAACTTATAACCCAAAAATTAATGAGCTGAGAGAACAATGAGGCCCAAGTTTTCCTCTGCATAGTTGTGAATGGGATTCTGTTTATTGTTTAACCACACCATGTTATTTACATTTATATCATCTTTAGCTTAAATGAAACATTTTAGATTTCTATTTTTTTAGTCTATTTTTTTTCAGAATAACTGAATCAAGAAAACACGTTAACTGTAAACACCGCTTGTCTCAGAATGTTTATGGTATCAACTGTGTTTGACAGTTAAAAGTATTGCTTCTGATAATGCTGCATGGCCAAAATGTTGTTTCCTTTCTTTTGGCATGGAATAAACCTGTTACCCGTTCCTTTACAGCCTACGCATGCTGAGGCATCTACCTACTTGAACTTGTTCTATTATGATTAGAATCCTTTAATGTTTTTATTAAGAAAATACAGCAAAACAAATAAAGTACATATATAATCAAAATACTGTGTATTTGTTCACCCCATTATTATCTATTCCAGTACAGGAATGTGGGGGAGCCAGAACCTATGCCAGGAAGCAATGGGAGCAAGGTAGAATGCACACTAGATGTGATACTAGTCCATCACAGTATCACAATAAAATAATTTTAAAAATGCTTAAAAGATTAAGAGTCCTTAAAAGAGGACTTATTTCTAAAGCACTGACTAAAACAAAAACTTGGAAAAAATATAGTGGATTTTAGAACTTAGTACTTTCACACACAGTATAAATCATAATACTAGATAAAAAGTAAAACATGAATTGAAACATTTTTGTTTTGCTTTTTTTTCTGTCCATATATACATTTATGATGCAATAAAAGTCCACCCTGTACAGTAGAACCTTCACCAACATGGGATTGTCCAATGTGGATTTGATTGTACATCAATGGGAACAAATACCTACTGAACGTGATAACTTTTTGACTATGTATGGTACTGAAGTCTACAGTCAACAAACAAAGTTTTCAACATTCCAGCACTACAACACATCCTCATCGCTTTGTATTTAATGTAATCTGTTATCTTAAGAAGTTAAGTGAAATCAAGATTACGTTTTTTGATGTCTTTTGTCAAATTAATACCCTTACAAAACACAATGTACCTGGAACTAGACGTGTGAAATAAAAAAAACCCAAACGTTGTGATATTAGCATAAAATCTAAGAACAATTAGTCCCAAGCATCCTTAAGACACTATCCGGTGCCTTTTGCTCTTCATCGTCACCATTCATTTAAGTTTAATCATTTACCACATGCAAATGATTTGTATTGCATAACACATTTATTATTATTTATATTTACAAACAGTTCAGTAAAGGCAGAGCTGTTTATTTGTAACACTATATGCATATAGGTAATTATGAGTGACTTTACACATCCATCCACGTTCATTTATCTTTATTTATTACATATATAAGTTTTAAGATTAAGATTTCACTCACTCCTGAGAAGGTCCCGGTTGTCCTGGGATTGGGGAAGGCCAGAACTATAGGGAAAAGATATAGAATATCAACTTGACTTCTGACAAAAATCATTTTTAAACCTGAACTTAAATTACAAAAACAAGAATTATTGAAATAGATTTAGAAATGTTTATATATGACCTTAAATAAATAGCATTTTCTCAGTAATACCCGTGACTGTAATGTTAGAGACAATGCACAATGCCTAGTTTGTGTCAACATTTTCATCTTCAAAGCAAAGGGGATATTTGCTGAGATGCATTGGGTCCAGATTCAGTGATCAAAGCAATTGTAAAGTTAACCTTGGTTTACCTTACTTAATTAAGTTCTGGGTAAATGATTAAGTGACAACCAACAGTCCAGTAGTCACATTCCTACATCCAGTAATTAAAAGTATGTTGGTACCTTTAAACTTCCTTGAAGACAGTCACTTGATTACCCCCCAAAAATAGGCGCTATATCTCGGTAATGAACGCAGCACAAAAACTACTTTCAATGGCACAAATGGAGCACTAACGAATATGGTGGGTTTCCTGGGACATTACATTTCATATTGCAAAAGACACTATTTCAGCTGGGAGAAATATGACACCTTAACAAAGGCACTCATTTCTTTGTCTTCAGAAATCACAGTGTGCCTTCATGCTGTATTCTACAACAAGGATTCACCAGGAATACACAAATAAAAGGACTTTAACCTAATTAATAAATAATAATATTAATAATAATAATTGCTTACACTTATATAGTGCTTTTCTGGACACGTCACTCAAAGCGCTTTACAGGTAATGGGGACTCCCCTCCACCACCACCAATGTGCAGTATCCACCTGGATGATGTGATGGCAGCCATAGTGCGCCAGAACGCTCACCACACATCAGCTATCAGTGGGGAGGAGAGCAGAGTAATGAAGCCAATTCATACATGGGGATTATTAGGAGGCCATGATTGATAAGGACCAATGGGAAATTTGGCCAGGACGCCAGGGTTATACCCCTACTCTTTTCGAGAAACACCCCAGGATTTTTAATCCACAGAGACCACAGAGAGTCAGGACCTCGGTTTTACGTCTCATCCGAAAAGTGGCGCCTGTTTACAGTATAGTGTCCCTGTCACTATACTGGGGCATTAGGACCCACTTGGACAGCAGGGTGAGCGCTCTCTGCTGGCCCCTGCTAATTGTGCTATGTTTGCACGTAAGTGCGCTGTACATATAAAGACATGGATAATTACTGATTTTAAGACCTTAGATATATATTCAGTTATTTTACCTGAAAATAAAAATATTTTCCAATATTTCCGCCGTCTGCATGTGTTAGACGGCAGATTTTCCAATGTTGTTTTGCAGTTGAGTTATAAACTACCTGGGTCAACTTAGTACATAGGGCACCTTTCCAAAATCCTGGTACTTTTTCAAATTTACAATTATGTATTACAAAAAATACATAATAATGGTATTATAATACAGGAAGTTGCAAATCCTAACCTTTTTAAATATGTGGCTTGAAAGATGAGTTAAATCTGTAAACAGCCTTTGATTTGCATATTAATCATAATAATTGCTTACACTTAGCCATAGTGCACCAGAACGCTCACCACACATCAGCTATCAGTGGGGAGGAGAGCAGAGTGATGAAGCCAATTCATAGACGGGGATTATTAGGAGGCCATGATTGGTAAGGGCCAATGGGAAATTTGGCCAGGATGTCAGGGTAACACCCCTACTCTTTTCAAGAAATGCCCTGGGATTTTTAATGACCACAGAGAGTCAGGACCTCGCTTTTACGTCTCATCCAAAGGACGGCGCCTGTTTACAGTATAGTGTCCCCGTCACTATACTGGGGCATTAGGACCCACATGGAGCGCAGGGTGAGTGCCCCCTGCTGGCCCCAGTAACATCTCTTCCAGCAGCAACCTTAGTTTTTCCCAGGAGGTCTCTCATCCAGGTATTGACCAGGCTCACAGTTGTGACCAGTTGTGAGTTGCAGGGTGATATGGCTGCTGGCAGTAAATATTAATTTAAAAAGGACACAATGAGAAACTGAGTACTTCTTCAGATTTTAAAAAAGGACACAACTACTAAGTATTATGACGTGCTAATTAAAGCCCCTTTGTAGGAACATGCAGTTGGTTGCTAATGTTCACTTTTTAACATTGGGGCAGAGCAGTAGCACTGTGGCTAAGGATCTGCGCCTGTGGCTGGAAGGTTGCTGGTTCAAATCCCACGGCCAGCAGAGGAATCCTACTCCGCTGGGCCCCTGAGCAAGGCCCTTAGCCCCAGCTTCTCCAGGGGTGCTGTATAAATGGCTGACCCCACTGGACTTCTCTCTCCCTGCCTGTGTGTCTCATGGAGAGCAAGCTGGGGTATGTGAAAAGACAAATTCCTAATGCAAGAAATTGTATAGGGCTAATAAAGTGATCTTATCTTATGTCTATATTGGCGTTTTTATTAATTTTCTATTTAGTGATCTTTTTAGGGCTACATCTGGAATACTTCGGATTACTGTATTGATATTGGCGATAAATGTATCTGTTCATACAAACGCACGGAAGATACTGGTATTAAATAGTAAATCAACTGCTACCCCCCATCTGGCAAACAGAGAAACAAAATTGTAGATATTGTTATCCTCGCACCCGTCATAGAGTCCTTGAACTCAACACATGGGGTTACTGATGGTCATGTGATCACCTGAAAAAGAATGTGCTATATCTCAGGAACGAAAGAACCTGGGAAGCTAATTTCAACTGTACAAATAGGCACAAATGCAGCACTAACGAATGAGACCAGTTCAGTTCACCTACACCATTGTAGGGGGGTTGGGTAAGGTCACCCCCTGAAAAAGAAGGTGTAATATCTCGGGAACAAAAGCACCTGGGAAGCTACTTTCAACGGCACAGACTTAGCACTACAGAATGAGACCGGTTTGGTTCCCTAACGGGGGGGCTGACCCCGAAAAAACAAGGCGCTACATCTCGGAAACGAGTGATGAATGAGGTGGGCTTTATCGTTTGTGCTTTTTGTAGGGGGGCCAACTTCACAGAGCTCGTATTCTTTCTGGTTTATTAGGCATTGAGAATTAAATACTTGGTAAGAGTCTGGAATTTTTCTTTGTAGTTAGGACATTAGACCTCTGGGATGCCTTGCCTGTAAACTTGTGACGCATATAGAGAAACTTGTGTGCTGTATGTTTATGTTGTGTGTAGTGTAGTGTGTGTCACTGTCTTTGTTAATACTGTAAATATTTGCTTAACCATGTGTGTCTGGATTATTACTCTTTTCAACAAAGCTTTGCCAGGGAACAAAGAATCCATGTGCCTCTAACTATATCAATTTAGTATTAATATAATTTAATATTATTTGAAACATAATTAAAAAGTTGGGGGTTATGATAATTCATTTTACTTATTTGCTAATCTGCTTGATCATTTCCTGTTATTAACCTTTTTTGTAACCCCTTATTTGTAACAGTGATATGTACTATAATTTCCTTTATGTTTGTCCCTACATTAGGCAAAACAGAGCATGAAAACTACTTCAAAATATTACACAATATTGCTATTTTGCTGCAAACTATCTTGGTCATAACAGGCATCCTAAACGTATCTAGTGTGAACACGTTTCTGTGATAATGTCCTGCATAGTAACTGTGTCACTGGTTACTGGCTGACTGTATTTATAATCCTGTGAGGCCACCTTCCCTAACCTCCCAAGATTCATTAGAAAAAAAAAAGATCCAGGACCTAATTAACAAGTCCCTGCTTGTTTTATCCTCACTTAAAAATGGCTGTGATTCATTGTTACCATGGGAGCTTCACACCTCAATGTTGCATCTTTTCCACAAAGGAAGAGTCAAGAAAAGCAAGCCTAACCTTTGACACTGTTTGCTCCTAAAGGGATTCAATCAACTCTAGGTAACAGAATGTAACCGAGTAAAACCATTTGTGAACTTAATACTTTTGGTATTATATATTAATACAAATGGGGGATTGACCTTTTAGCTTTAATCAGCTATGTGTTTCACCCTCAACCGAAGGACCACTTAAGGCAGAAACAAAGGGAAACTGTAAGGCAGTTGTGCAAATTAAAATTAGCCAACTACCCTCGAAGGTATACAGTTTAAGGGGGTTAAACAGCTCTCTCATCTGAACCCAGCTGTGGAGCAACATCCCCATCAGTAAAGGTTTAGGTACTCTGGACACACAACGCAATGCTCACCCTGGTAGGCGGGGGGTAGGGAGGCTGTGGTAGAGGAGGAAGCTGGCTCTTCATCACGCTTGCTGACACAATCTGTGCAGAAGAAAGTGCAGCCATGTTCTGAAGGGCCTTGTCTTTCGAAGCCTGATCCTGCAAAAAGACAGCTCAGCACAGTCACAACGCAGAACGTCTCGAGGTACAAATGGTAAAAACCCTGCAAAACAAAATGAGTGCACTGTTCTGACTGTTTTTTACTCACAGCTTAATTCTTAACTATAATGCAAATCTGCAATATTGCCTTTCAAAATCTGAAAGGACTTGTAAAAATCTCACCCAGAATGTGCTAAATGTTAAATTGGAAATTGTATGGTATTTTAACATCAAAATTTGCAATACCTAAAGTACACTTTTGGTCTTTGTAATTAGGATTGAGGTTAGTTGGACATTAAATCCTGATAAAGACATAAGAAAATGTATTTCAGGAAACACCAGGAAAAGAAAGAAAAAAGGTAATGAGGCATTTTCTTTAAAAGAACATTCCAGGACTTTTTTTGTCTTGTTACTCTATTTATTAAAATTGAATTCATGTACACAGAAAAATAATTAAAAAATACAATGCTGCTTAATTTACTTTACCAGGATATGTTAAGTATCAATATGATTTGTAATATTAGTCTGCAATATTTAAGATAAGCCATTTATAAGACTGCATTTATTCAGCCTGGAGTTTTCTTTCAGAAAATATGATGCAATGAAGTATGAGAAGTTACTTTTTACAGAAATAAATGAGCAGCTTAACACATGAGTGTTAGCTCTGCTGGTACAGTGACAACAACTATAGACAGAAGAAGAAAGATGGAGCAGGTGCCATTTTGAAATGTATTATTTTTTACCACCATTAAAGATGCAGCAAAGAATCTGCTGAAGCACTTCCACTGATGCCCACCAGTTGATGAACATTTACTAGAATCCAAATTAAAGAGCATGTGCATTTTTCAGAATGAAAATGGGGCATTTGTGCTTTACATCTGAGAGTCAACTATGACACATTACACCATAAAACCACTAAGTGTCATGGTTCTCAAACTCAAGCTCTGTCTTCATTCGTGTAGAACAGGTACACAAATTTTATCATAATTCCAAGAGAATTATGAAGCTTGTTCCATTCACTGACAGATCGATAACATTTTAAAATCTAATTCCCACAATGTTCAAGTATTTTTTTAAAGCACTGCACACATTTATGTGAAGTGTTTCTCACAAAAATTCCTAAAATAATGATAATCAGAATTCCTAAAGATAGAGATTAGACCTAAGACAGGACGGGAGAGGTGAATATAACACACAAAACCGTAATTAATGGAAATGTATAATGAATGTATATGCCCATATGAATGTCTCCATGCACATGTTCTGAAGTGCAGCTGGGTGAAGTTGCAAAAGAGTTTTGCAGGATGTTTGTGGACAGCTAAATAAAACATAATATGACTCCAATAAAGGTACCTCTTCTAGTATATTAAGAAATGTATTTTCAGTTTGGTCTGTCTGCACTAAACAGATTTAAAACTGATCAGTGATAATAATGCATGTTGCATTCACAGGGAAACATGCTGGATATAGAAACTAACTTATTGTACATATGAACATAGGCCTGAAATAACAAAAGGATTATTAGTACTTGGCATACATACAAAGTATATGATGACCACTGAATGAAACATCCATGTACACAAAGACATCACAAAGATTGACATAAGCATGTATGGCCAGTGATAAATGAGCATAACTGCAGAAGAAGGCCAGAGGGACAGAAACCTGCTGTCACTCTAGAGATGAGCTGAAAAAAAAAGCACCAAGACACAGCAAGCAACTAGAAGCATGAACAGCCTGAGGGCTCCGGTTCTCAAAGCAAACTGCAAAGCTCTGGATTCACACACAAGCATCAAAAAGCAGATTTTGTCTATTGAAAAGTTCAATCCCATTCCCATTTTAACCCATCAATTGCCTTAAGATAATGTTCATACAGAATAACATACATCATACCTAAAGGGAACAATAAATTAAAAATGTATTTTTAAAAAACTGAAAACTCTTTACTTTTCTCTTTGAAGCAGGTATTAAAGTCAATACATATTTTCAGTCTTCATTTTTGAAATATTTACACCTATGGCTAACTAGGTTGGTTAATTGGGACATATACTATGGTTTCTAAACATATGGAAAACCAAAAAGTCATAGAAAGCTGGGTGAAAGAGATATTCCTGAAGTCAATGTTCACAAGGCTGAACATTTTGTATTTTATTTTTACATTTTTAAATAAAAACATTACCTATTCAAAATGAATGCTTCAAGATAATGCCATATCTGAGTACTATAAGGAGCTTATTTTGCATATGTATATGCACAATGTTGTATATTAACGTCTTAATGTAAGTCTCTTTTTTATTAGAATTTTTGGAACAGAGTACAATGCAAAGACTCACCCTTTATCTTTTATTTTTAGACTAGAGTATAGCAGCTCTTTCTGTTCTTTTAATACCAGTTCCAAAATGTGTAGACTTCATGGTCTAACACAAAATTTGTACTGAAGCATTGCAGTTCATAAAAAAACTAAATTAACTAAAATACAAAGATGTCTCCCTTGATTCTCCACATCTCAACAACCTTGCCTTCTCCCTTTAAAGTTAAACTACAGGTTAGTGTGTATCCTGTTTGTTTTTAGAGATTAAAATTAATCTCACTTGATGAAAGACTGAACAAAACAGCCTGCTCCAAGGGCAGCAGAAGAAATAATAACCTCCACAAGCTCAGTAATTCCCAGTGTCACTTGAAATTTGTAACTCTTATAATAATTTCTTTTTTAATCAATGAAGTTGAAAATAAACTAAAATCTTTAATTACTTTAGTCTAAGGAGCTAAATTTGTACAAAGCTCTAAAACGTGTTGGAGATACAAAGAGTAATGAATTATAAGTATACAAAAATACTTGTTAACTTAGAACTCTGGTCACCTTGATTCAACTAAAAGGGCAGGCACAGTACTTCTTTTTGCTTAAGTGAAGATATTCAAAGACGATAATATAAGTAACAGTCTCAATCTCAGTGTATTATCTTTGAGATCTTTGTTCATACCTTTATACAGATGTTCATATCACTGAGTTAAGAAATTCGCGATATGTTTAGTCCATAGTTCCAATATCTGACGTAAGGAAACTATTGCCTATCAATTAAATGTTCCTCTGTAGCATATTAATGACAAACCTAAGACCACAATCATGTGTGTTCTGGTCCAACTTAAAAACAACTTAAAAAAAAGAAAATAAAAACAATCTACTATAAATAATCAACTCAAACTAAAAAAATTATAATAATTATCAAATCATTATAATAATTATTATAGTTATTAAAATAATAATGATAAGAACTTGAACTCAGAAATTATAATAATGAGTAATATTAAGCATTTTGTGAATCAAGAGCCTGAACTGCTGTAGAATTAGGCATTTGCACTGCAGAAGAAGCATATAATCACAAGAGGTCTAAGACATCTCCAAAGATGTTGAGGTTACAGGAAGCAAGCTGCTTTGTGATTCACCAATCCACATTAAATAAGCAAGCTATTATTGCCAAGTTGATCTCTGACTAGAAAGTGCTGAAATATATGTAGCTTAAGTGCATGAAAGACAGTGTAGCTTAACTTCAACTATAAGCAGCTGCAAGAATATTAGTGCACCTGCCAGAAAGGAACGTTGCCATGCTAAAACTGGTAAATTGCACAGTGGGACAGCTGTAATTCATTGCCATAGCTGAGCAGATATAGTATATTACAAGAGGGACAAATCAACACTTACCAAGTTCATGGCCTAAATAAAAAAAAGAAAACATTAGTTTTTTTATGATGCAAAAAAATCGTAAATTAGTAATTCACAGCTACTTTTCTATTACTTTTCTTTAAATAAAGCCACAACTGACTATAGTCACTTAAGCATTAGAATATACTTTGAAATCTTATGCATGAGCATCAGTTTCAGTAAAACACCTCTGTATACTGACATCTCTCTAATCAAGAAAATCTAAAATTGACATCGAATGACATTGTGACAATTGACATTGTCACACAGAAGACAAATTAGCAGGAACTTCCCCTTTTCCTTTTGTCACATTGCAATACAAAATAAGACAGGACTGATTTTCTAAGTAGATGACTAAGTAGTTGACTGCAAAGTGCATTTATACTACAACACATAATTTGGGTTTCCAGTTTTCAGCATTTATTTGTGATCATGTTACCCCCTTTGAATTTATTGTGAACTGTTTGTAAAGTGTGTGGTTGATTCATTTTACCTGTAAATCCGACATGGATCACATGACATGGATCAACCCCATTATTTATTCTTACTGAGTTTAGCCACCAGTGTATGCATTGTTTTATGTTCAAACTTTTATTTTCGCCACTCAACGAACAGGAGATCTGGTGTCAAATAATTCAATAAAAAATAGCTAAGGCACTTGCATAAACAATTTCAACTGTAATCTCTAAAACCTTCAGTTTTACAAGGAATCCACAACCCAGGTAGAGCTGATAACTTTATTCTTAATAAAGAAGCAGATAGAATGCACTGCAGTTTAAAGGGTGGTAAGTAGTTGAAAAATAAGGAGAACAACCAGAAACCTTAATTATGATCCAGTAAATGAAATTGTAAACATTAGTTTTAATTGGAATATTTTAAAATAAAAGTGTTGCTTTCTCCACATAAAATGTCGTATACATGTGCAACACCAATATGTATGATCTAAATGAATGTTGTTTACAATTACTTTTACAATCAGTATTTCATTACATTACAGCAATAAACCTGTTCACAATATTTGTCCCATGGGAAAGTTTATTAAAAATATACTTAAATATTTTAAAATATAGTTATAAAATATATAACTAGACCTGCTCCTTTGAAGAAGCATCAGAGTTTTAACAAAAAACAGATAATATTTCTACAGTGGATATAAAAAGTCTACACACCCTTATTGAAATTGCAGGCTCCTGTGATGTAAAGCCAGAAATCAAGATAAATCATGTCAAGACATTTTACTACCTTTAATGTGACCTTGCAACCAACAAAATTCAAGAGAAAAACAAATAGATAATTATTAGGAAAAATACTTGAAATTAAAAAACCTATAACATTCTGGTTGCATAAGTGTTTACACCATTTTATTATGGGGGCTGTGTTCAGAGTTAACCAATCACATTAAAAATCATGTCCAAAGGTAAGCAGCATACACCTGCCATCAATGAAAGTGATTCTGATTAACCCCAAATAAAAATCAGCTGTTCCTGTAGGATTTCCTTGGAATTTTCATGGTTGCATCCTACTGGGATAGCCATGGTCTGCAAGGAGCTGACAAAACATCTACGGGATCTTATTGTTCAAAGGTACAGATCAGGAGAGGGGTATAAAAGAATATCAAAGGCATTGAATGTACCATGGGACACTGTAAAGACTATTATCAATAAGTGGAGAAAATGTGGCACCACAAAGTTGATGACAGGACAAGGAGAAAACACATCAGGGAGGCTACCAAGAGGCCTACAGCAACATTAAAGGAGCTGCAGGAATTTCTGGCAGGTACTGGTCACTCCTTGCATGTGACAACAGTCTCCCGTATTCTGCAAATGTCTGGGCAATGGGGTAGGGTGGCAAGACAAAGGACCAATTCTCACATAAAAGTTCATCCAAGCCCATCTAAATTTTGCAAAAAAAATACATTCAATCACCCTAAACCATGTAGGAAAATGTCTTATGGTCTGATGAGATAAAGGTTGAACTTTTTGGCCTTAATTCTAAAAGATATGTTTGGCGCAAAGACAACACAGCTCATCATCCAAAGAACACCATACCTACTGTGAAGCATGGTAGCATCATGCTTTGAGGCTGCTTCTCTTCAGCTGGGACAGGGGCTCTAGTCAAGATAGATGGGATAATGCCTAGCTCCAAATATCAAGATATTTTGGCACACAACCTGCAGGCCTCTGTCAGAAAGCTGAAGATGAAGAGGAATTTCACCTTCCAACATGATAACGACCCAAAGCACACACCCAAGTCAACCAGGGAAGATCAAAGTCTTGGAATGGCCCAGTCAGAGCCCAGACCTCAATCCCATAGAAAAAGTGTGGAATGACCTAAAGAGGGCTGGGCAAAGGAGATCCCCTGGCAATTTGAAGGTCTAGGTGTGCAAAGGTGATAGAGACTTATTTGCAAAGACTTACTGCTGTAATAAATGCAAAAGGTGCTTCCACAATGTATTAGTTGGGGGGTGCTACTTATGCAAACAGGGTGTTGTAGGTTTTTTAATTTCAATTATTTTTCCTAATAATTATCTATTTGTTTTTCTCTTGAATTCTGTTGGTTGTAAGGTCACATTAAAGATGGAAAAATGTCTGACATGATTTATCTTGATTTCTGGCTTTACATCACAAAAGCCTGATATATCAATAAGGGTGTGTAATCTTTTTTCCAGGCTACAAGCAGTTCAGCTTGATTTCCAAGATCAAACAGCTCAAAATGAGATGATCTTTATGAAATTTATTTTATCATTTTATTATGATATGCAATTAAGTGGTTCTTAGAAAACAGATCTGGACACAACACTCTATTGAAAAATAAAATAGATGATATACAAACAGGTACCCTTTAACTTCTGTATTCATGTAAGGAAGTGCCCAAATTATCCACACAAGAATCACTTAACTACAAATATACAAGAGCATTTACAAATATCATAAATAGCCAGGATTAGATCATAAGACTGCAACATAATTAAATGGTATTTGATGTGACAGTACTAAGATTTCAATTCTCAATTAATGTTGATCCTCTACCACACCAAAAAGATTTGCAGCCTGTTAAACTGGTGACTGAAACAGCACTGTCCGAAATGAGTCTCACTGCACAAATAATCTCAGTGTTTGGAAAGCACAGTATGAATAGAATGTACTGTTGCTAACTGGACAAGGATTTTAAACTATGAAACGTGTGAGGACCACACCGTTGGCAATAACTTATTTAATATCCCTATTACCAGATATCATACTTAATATAACACAAAATATTTAAATATCTTTTACAAATATAACATGGTAAAAAACTTTTTGCCCCCATCATATGTCATGAGTGTTAATTTAGCTTAATAAGCCTTAATGTAGTCTTTGTAATTATTACATTTTTTGTCACTGTTTATATGACTCATTTGATATGAACATTATTTATAGGACTATTATTTACACAATTAAGGTTAGTAAAAACCTAGAGTAACTTTACAAACACTTCCATAATTTATGGCACCCTAATTCATTATAGTAGATCAAATGTACTATAATCTATTTTGTATGCAAAAGTACAGTATAGTCTTAAGGCTACATTTTTTATCAATTGAATATGTGCTGGAAACCAAAATAACAAACCTCAAAACTTATGTAGATTTGTGTGACAGCTTTGCCTAGTTTTACATCTACCAAATGCAGTATCTACATATTGTAATATTGTAAACTGCTCTCTGCTAAAATAGATTGTCTGCAGAAAAATGTGCTTCTCAGTTCAAACGTAGGTACAAGAATAACATCAGTAGTTATTGGAATTTATCCAAAGTTTATCTCTGCAAAGTGATAAGTTAAAACAAAAAAAGGTTTCTCTTATTTTAAAAGAACAAATTAAAAAATGGACAATGAAAGTACTTTCATCTCTCTATAAGCAAAAAAACAGCAACTGGCATGTTATTGAAATGTTTTTTGCTCTGGGTCAGATTTGGTATTTCATTTCTAAACCCCATAAAATTAAAAGGGAATTGCAGTTCTAATTTCTCACACTGGTTATTAAACTTCAGTAATAAAATAAATTTATTGATGGCATAGAAAACTTTCAAACTAAGCACAAAATTGTGAACTTTGTGAAAGTACTCTAAGTCGACATGTTGCTCCAAACCCATAGGTGTCACCAGGGGTGAGAGTGAGAGTATCCATGAATTATGATGTGATACAGATATTCCTTCTCACTTAGTCACTGTAATGACTAATGTAATGCGATGTACGAGCGAATTAAGTAGAGGTTGCGCAGCAGATATTTTAGCACAGAAAGTTTCCTTCAGCAAAACTGTCTCAAAGTTGAGGGCAATATTTCTATTGGATTCAAATAGATGTATTTACAAGCCTGCTTGTTTACAATGTAATACAATGTAAGTTTGCCCTCACCAGAAGTTTTGTTGCCTCGTTCCAAATCACAGAATATGGCGCCACACATACCTGGATATTGTGATGTAAATTGGAAGTTTTACTGTTAATATGTACATTGTACTTTAAGTGTGGTTTGAAATGCACTCATCAGTCCTGATTCTTCATAACCCCAAAAAATAAAAACAGCATTGCAGTTCCCCTTTAAGATAAAGAGATAAACTTTGTACTGTGTTACGCTGTTCTTTACCTCATCGCGCCAGTCTAAGATTACCATTCCAATTAACACAGATAAAGGCTGGCAATTAGAATTGCCATTAGAACAGATAAAGGCTGGGAATGAGGTCGACAAATAATTAATGTCAGAGAACATTACAGGAAATAATCTAATCTAAACAATAAACATCTACAAATAAGAACCCTTATATAGAGTGCCTTCCAACATTATTCAACTCCTTCTAAGTTTCTACATTTATTGTGATATGAACTTGTATTAATAACGTTATTCAGACAGGATTTTATGTAAAAGAGGAATTTAAGGAAAATGAAGAAACTGTTAACTGCGTAAGTATTCAACCCCTTGCCTATAGTAAGATTAAATCGGTCACAAATTCAGTGTAATGGTTTCAGTATGTCTATAATCAAAGTGGTTTCATTTTACTTTTTAAAGTCAATGCATGTGTCTATGTTCCATTAGACAGATATTTAATTTTAAACTCACACTCCTAGTTATCTAACGAATCAACCATAAGACCAATAATTTTTGTAATCAAATCCAAGGAGTGGTTAAGAAAAGGTTATTTATCTCTTTGAGCGCAGTAATTTTAAAAAGTCAAAAGTGTACCCATACAATCCAGACACTACCTGGATCTGTCTCTTCTTCCAAACTGAGCAACAGGCAAATTAAATTAATTAGGGATGTCACTTTGTAGCCACTGTGTAGCAATGACTTTAAAACATCTGCAATCTTCTATGAGATTAGAGTCACTGTTCATAGAATCAATGACATCCCAGTTCTTATACAAAGTGGGCCTATATAGAAAAGCATCGGTTTACTTTAAGATGGTTACTTCAAAAATCATCTTAAATTTCAAATAAAATATACTGCAGACACATTGAAAACATTTTAGTTTTCATGTTATGCATGTCGCAAACTGTAGGTCCCTAGAGCAAAAACATCTTCCAATTTTCCAAAACTGGGTAAAAAATTCACATTTCAGAAGGACAAGAACAGCAGGAGTTTTGATCCAAAGCCACAACCAAGTGGTCTGACAAGAAGAAAGCGAAAGTCTTTGAGCAGCCCAGTCAAGAACCTGACTTGAATCCAAGAGAACATTTGCAGCAAGACTTCAAGATTGCAATCCATCAGATGTTTTAAACAGGCATGTCAGAACTGGAGCAGTTTTGCCAAGAGGAACATATTGTACCTCCCCACTGTAAAAACCTGTTAGCGACCTATCCAGAACTAGTGACGGAAGTATTGCTGCCAAAGGATTCCACCAAGTGCTGACTTAGTGGGCTGAACACTTATGCAATCAGTACATTTTATATAAGTTTCTTTATTTTAGGTTTTGCTGACATTCAAGTTCTTTCATATATGACATTATTCAGTTTGATCATTATAATTTTGACAAAAAAAAATATTTAAAAAATATATATACAGTACTTGACTTATTTGTGAATATACAAAGTGATCTTATTGGCAGGGGTTGAATACTGTTGCTGTATAAATAATCAATATAAATAACAAAATTATGAATCTAAAGTATTACTTTAGATTCATATATAAAGCAAGTGCTGGAATCAGGTTTTTCTTTCAATTTAAACTTATTTCATTACTTAAATACTCTGCAACAATTACCAATTTTCACCATTAATGCAAGTACCCTTTTATTACTTATCACTGGGACAGATGTACACAATCTTCAATAACCAAATAGTTTAATAAATTAATCCAATTTTTAATAGTTTAAGTGGCTAATGTTCCAAGCAATCAGACAAAATATAGATGTAAATGGTTTACCTCACTTTTATATGAACACTTTTAAACGCATTTAAAAACTTATCAGGAGACTGAATGGGACTGAAAACTACTAAACATCCAAAGTCCAATAACAGGTAAAAGGACTTTTAATGTCACATCAGAAGTACTACAAATTATGGTTCCAGATTATTTTTGTTATTGCCGCACTCAAGATGTAGCAGGTATCTACTACATCTACACACAATCTAGGAATGTTCTGTAATACCGCACTATTGTGTTATGTGCCTAATCTGCTTTTAGATTTGACTGGTGTGACTGAGCCAACTGCTCCTTTGCAATAACTACTCTCAAGATACTGTCAATCTTCAGGAACAATATGTTCACCTGCTGGCTTCTAACTGCAGCCAAAACCTTTTTTCTGCAAGACTGGTTGAACACTGAGATTACATTAAATTGCATTTGCTAGAATTCATTGATAAAAAATGTCATGGAAATAAGATAAAATTTACATTTTGTTAGAGCACAAATTGTGACAGTATGGTGACATTTTACCCATCTGCATAACATGTTTTATGAGCCGCTTCTCTTTTGTTTTGGTCTGTGAGTGCAGATATTCATGTAGGTTGCTTGCTTATGTTGATAACAGATTCAGAACAATGTTTTCGGTGAATACAGTCCAAAATGAGTAAAAGAAGTATCCAGACCAGCTGTACATTGAATGTTTCAGTCACCAATTTGAATAGACAGAATGGAAAATCCCACACACATGGGGAGAAAAGAGGAAAGGTGGATGTCAAAGCAGAGCACAGGAAAGCCTTCTTGCAGCAGCACTAGCGGGTTAGTCACAGCACCAGTGGTAAACCTGCTCGAATGTAGCATTAAGCAGCCCCAAGATCATAACTGGAAAGAATCTAAGTGCTATACAAATACAATACAGCCCACATAAGCTAAAGCATGCAAAAAGCACAAAATACACATTCTATAGGCTCCTAAATAACAGCAGTGTTTGTGATGTATTCTTCATTCAACTGTCTAGCAATTCTCTAGATTCTAAATTGAATTTGCTTTCATCAGATTTGTTTTTGAAGTAGCAACGATGGATTTTGTATGTTACCTTTTTAGTTAAATTTTGAATTGAAATTTCACTTTTTCACTGTCAGGCCTACTTTTTAATGCCTGGCCAGATCATAACTAAGCTCCAGGGAATATATCTGTCAGTGCCAGACCTCATAGGGGACAGAAAAACATCAGCAAATATGCTGATATAGTTCTTTTCTAGTCCTGTATGTTGTTCATGGTCTTTTGCAGCCTTTATTTCACTGATAATCCAGACCCACAGCAAATCCTACAAAAATCCAGCACTGATCTTTGTTAAACAACTAAAGAAACCTTCACCAGTAAAGAGAAATAAGAGTTCAAAAATGCTCACCAACTGCAATAATCATGGGTAAGCATGGGTATAATGTTCTCTAACTCTTAAGTCTTAAGTTTTCTTTATAGAAGACTATTTACAGAACAGCTAAGCCTCATACACAATTACATTATTGGAAGACCGGTACCTTTCAGGCCATTTAATGTCAAAAGTGAACATAAGATTTCTATAAATGCATTTTGGCATTTTAACTGAATTACAAAAATAAATAATACATAACCATTACCCTCTGCATGTAACACCTAACAAATTCTCCTCTGCATGTCACGCCTAAAAATATACAATTGTAATTCTTAACCCTAACAATACAAAAGCTATAGCTATTCCCAGGAATTAAAAAATTAAAAACTGTTTTCCAAAAACAGTTAGTTTTTTTTTCAGTTACATGCGGATCTTACTACTGTCTATATGTCTATATAATGACTCTGCAAGCCTAGACTAATGTCTGCAAAATATTTTAGGCCAAAGATGAAATCCCTACTTCTTTCAGTCGTTCTCTTGAGGAATACACCTTCATCAATTTGCGCCTTAAATGTCAAAGCATCACTTCGACACTATCTCCTAATTAACCATGAATCAAATTTAAACTAAAGGCATCTTTTGTCTGACTTTCCCCGAATCTGATCCAGCCTTTATCATTTTAAAGGCTTCTTACATAACTGATTTCTTAGCAATACTGACAATCATAAACTATTCTCTGAACTGTTTGATTTGTCAACTTTGTGTTAATTCATAAGCAAAAGCTTCAAAATTAAAAAACAAATACAATTAAGTGATTTTATTTTATACATAATCCATAGCTTATGCTACTTATGCTCCATGTAATACAATTCTATACTACTTCATTACCATACACCTTCTTATAATCCATCTTTTACTACTAATAATAATAATAATAATTATTATTATTATTATTATAATCTTTTACTAAGGCACTTTACTGCGGAGAGTACTGTCAGTGCTCACTGTGCATATTATATTCAATTTACAAAAAATGTCTTAATATATAATTTAAATTGTTGAAATACTAAAAATGTCAACAGAAAAGTTGAATGTCAACAGAAAAGTTGAATGTCAATAGAAAAATTTTCAAATCATTTTCAATATTCTCCAACATCTATTTCAAGATGGTCAACAAGATTTCAGTGAATCGTGTGCAGCTGATAATTTTTTTGAGACTCATAATTGTAGGTTAAAGGTTGCTTTATGAAGGTGCAAGAAAGCTGGCTTTGTTATCTAAACATTTTTGGATTTGATCTAAAATTGCATGCTTTATGATTCTCTCTCTCTATTGTCTTAAGGTATAATCCTCCAGCTCAATAAAAATCTACTGCGATTTGACTCTTTCCCCTTTTGGTGCCACTGCTCAGGTGTTCTGCTGGAGCTCTGGTTGGTTAGCTCAAAGCCAAGCTTTTAGAAGCCCCGCCCAGCCCGCAAAAAAGCGCATACCTTCAGCTTTGACTGTATCTCGCGAGATTTTCTCCGGGCAAGAACCTGCAAATGGCTAGAAACCTGCAGAAAGAAGAGCAAAAGGGGAAGAAAACAAAAAGAAAGAAAAACAAAACAAAAAGAAAGAAAGAAAAGAGAAGCCGTAACCAAGGAGGAAAGAGACGCCCAACCACACCCTACCCATGGAACCGCGGGCGGAACCTACCTTGATGCCCGCTTGATATTCCCGAACTTTCTTCCGTGCTAACACCTGTATGTGACTAGACACCTGGGGGGCGTGAAACAATTTTAAACAAACACACTCACAGTGGCAAAGTGTTGCAGTACAATTCTCCAGAGATTATCAGTTCTGCTACAGAAGCCACTCATTGCCTAATGCTATTGTAGTCATGTATACATAGTGGGAGCTTACAGGGGAATATAAAATGTTGTACAGGGCAGAAACACCAGGAGCCACTGGTCTCTGTAAAAACTGTGAGCTACAAAAAATAAGGACTCATTTAAAACTATACCTGGTAAAGAAAAAAATAATATTTTGTGGTATTTGTAGTGTGGGGATTCATGTAGAACAGCAGCTGTTATGCAGTATTTGACCAAAGTTAATTCTATTCTGATTAATCAGACCACAAAACAATTAAACTTAAAAACATTAAGATAAAATACATATGATGGTGTGAAAAAGCTGAACATATTAGAAATAAAACAACTTAACGTAAGATGTTATTGCCTTGATAATCACAATATGACCTGCAATTTTTCCCAGCTCGCTCGGAAAGTATGATGGCAAAAAAACAAAAAGCTACTGAATAATTTTATTTTCCCAATATATATACTTATTAATGAAATTACATTCTATGAATAATGGCATAATTGCACATGGTTAAGATATTTGACTTGCAGGGACAATTCTTTTTTATCTTCATGAAATGTTACGTTTAAGGTATTCCTCAATTCTCAGTTATAAGCATTGAAAGACCAGTGTTCAACACCAATACTATAATTGAAAGTCAGATATTATTCCACTGTGCATTTATTATTCACACTGTTTACAGCACCTTCTGTAATGACTGGCTCATTTAAATAATTTTGGTTTTAAGAATATTATAATACTACTTATTTTTATTTTAAAGACAGTAGATTAAAAGCATGTTTTAAAATTATTTTAGTATAAAGAATAAAGGTATAAATTAAAGCCTTAAAGTCTACAACCTGGTTTACATAATAATGGAACATACATAGCTTGTTTTATATAAAGCAAACTAATAATTCTGAGGTGTCTGATGTATAACTATTCACAACCCACCATGTGTATTTAGAGGCTGAATTGTAAACATAAGAAAAAAAAATAGAAATATGCTACCATATACACTAAACTGTCCCTGAGCCCTTGTAAGATGTCTTATACCATTTAACCATTACCTTTTTCAATTACAAATATATGCAATGTTTCTTGCAGACAACATAAGCTATACAAAAATGTAATAGGCTTTTCTTAGAGAGGAAGAATTGTGACAGACAAAAGGTAGGGACTTTCCAGTGAAAAACTACATTCCCAGAAGGCATTTTTCAAATGTTGACCTTTTCAGCTTTGCAGTTCAGCCTCATATCTTCGTAAGTAATGAAAATAATATTCTAATAGCCTTCATATTGTATCTTAGACACTGAAGCTTTCTATATACGTTTACAGTTATTGCAAAGTTCTTATTAAACAGAAAATGCTTCCCTGACTGCAAAATATTGCAGATTGGATCCTCAGATCCTCACTAGGTGGCACTATGCATCAAATCAGAGCACTATAACCAAAGTCAGCTAATTTTCCTTTGTGGGTAATATATATATTTTTTGCTAAGAATCTGCTGGTTGTTACATGCTTAATCATGTGTGTATAATGTGATGGACTGACATTCCATACAGGATGTAGTGTAATTTTCTGCCCTGTGCTTCTGGGTTAGATCTCTGTCTCTTATCAGGGCTAGACAAACTTCTGATAAGGAATGGACAGGTATAAACTGCAGTTTATTGATTTGTGTATGTTTTTGAAATAATGTACTTATAAAAAATATCAGAATCTTGTTAGAATCTTTGGTGTTAGCATTACAGTACAAATTAAATATGTTATACTGTTTTATAAGTCTATATGTCAATTGTGGAAGACTAGGGCAGATGTATACTGATAAGCCAGGTAGGAAATGTTATTCTCTTTACCAAAAAAGGGTAGAGTAACAATAAATTGCAAGTTAAGGTCAATCCCTTGCTGCAAAGTAGATAGAAGAAATGCAATTTTCTGGCTGTTGAGCACTTTTCAGGTGACACCTCCAGAAGACACCTCAGTCAAGACATGGCTGCTCTTTCTACTTTGCATCGTGGACTTAAGCTTTATCTTGTTCCTTTGCAGCCAACGCATGCTTACGCAGCTCCCCCCTCAAATCCCCCCCAAAAGAGTTGTGGTTTTACCTGTTTTCTTGTGCGGGTTTTTCCTGTCCGCAACTTGATATACCTCGCTATCAACTCATTGCGACCTATACAACAGAAAGGAAAAGAAGTTTTGTTGTTTAGCATGAAAAGTTCTTCCCACGTATTAACTGACCAACAGCATGTCTGTGGGATTTACTAGAAGAAATGCTATCAAATGTATTATTATATTTACTTATCATTAAGATGTAGTTTGAAAGAGTAAAGATCCTAACAAGTGAACAACAAAGAGCTTGTTTTTTGTGCTGAGAATAGGGAGAAAATCATCTGGCACTCATTAGCTGCACAATGACTTCTAAGAAGCCAAACTAAGGTCAACTGGGTTGAAATCCATTGAAAAAGCTTTATAGTTAAATTTTACTTCATGTAATCATTTAATTGACTTTTCCAAATTAGATAAATCAGGATTAGTTAGAATAACATTAAGTTATAAGACTTATAAGAGTCAGGAAAAAACATTCAGGAAAATCCACACTATCTAAACATCTTTTAAAATGTTCTACAAAATAACCACAAGGTAGAACCCATAATGTACATACTTCACTTTTAGTTACTTAGCCCTCAGCGAGAAAACAAGACATGTTGAACTTAAGAGAAGGAAAACATGGATGGTGTGTTTTATTCTGAACTATGAATTTAAAAATGTCAATTAACACGTATATTGTACATAATCAGTTATAAAGGTAAAGCCTTTTACAGATATGCTTTTCAGAGGGAACTTCTAGGAAGAGCCCTGAAACCTTCCAAGATTTACTATGTTTTAAGGCAGACAGAAAGTGTCAGTGAACTAAAAAGCTTTTTATGCATCATGTATGTAAGGTCAATTGTATATTTAGCAGCATTTAAGTTCTCTGTCACTTCTTACACTTGAACACAAAACAAAAAAACATTACTGCATTATACAACTGATAAAAGACAAATTATCTCTTCAGGAGGAAACTTCCACATGCACAAATTCCAACAAATCAGTTTGAAATGTCAGCACCAAGAAGGAGGGGCTTTAGAAAAAAGCTTCAAAATGAATCTCATTCTTCTGGCATTCAAAGGAAAAAAAAAACTGCCTAAACTGGAAATACCAACTCCAGCACACAATACTTAGAAAATAAGTTAGAATCCTCTGGAACTAGTTCTATCAAAGATTAATGAGGTTATGCTGCATTTGAAAATATTCAAAAAAGGCAGCTCTTAATCATCTGCATTTCTCCCAACAGATTGTGAAAGCAACGACACCTCCTTTGGTTAGATATGAGGTCAAATTGGGCTTAATGTATCTAAAGTCATAGTTTATTGCATATATTATCTTTTTATCATTATAACACATAACTCAATTTTGCATACTGGACTTCTTCAGTTTTTAAGCCCAGTACTAGATACTAGCACCATGGTACAGAAATTAATCCTTTATTTGTTCCCATGAATCTGACTATGTTGAAATATAATTTATAACTTCAACTTACTGTCCAAGGTGTTCTCCACCAGGTTTCCACATTATGAATATATATCTTATAATAAACAGTTAAGAAAAAGATTAAATACCATTGGGCTTGGAGAAATCACCAGCAGTCCAACTGCTGCTCTTTCAGTTCATACACACAATGCTGCAGGTGAAACAGCAGGCACAGATGCAAAGCAGCCAGTTGTAATAGAGGAGAAAAAGGACCTTTGGAAGCTAATATCATTAATCCCCTGGCTTTTACAAAGGAATAAGCAGTGAGACACAACCAGCTGAAAAAATAATGTAGAAAGTGGTTCAGGACCTCTATATAGATGGTGTTCATGAGATGTCAATGGAGTCTGGATGAGAATGAGAAACAAACTTGGGAGTGAATAGTAATAATAATAATTGCTTACATTTATATAGCCCTTTTCTAGACACTCCACTTAGTCCCTGTTATAAGTAACAGGGACTCCCCTCCACCACCACCAATGTACAGCATCCACCTGGATAATGTGACGGCAGCCATAGTGCGCCAGAATGCTCACCACACATCAGCTTTAAGCGGGGAGGAGAACAGAGTAATGAAGCCAGGTCATAGATGGGGATTATTAGGAGGCCATGATTGGTAAGGGCCAATGGGAAATTTGGCCAGGACACCGTGGTAACATCCCTACTCTTTTCGAGAAACACCCTGGGATTTTTAATGACCACAGAGAGTCAGGACCTCAGTTTTACATCTCATCCGAAGGATGGCGCCTTTTTACAGTATAGTGTCCCCGTCACTATACTGGGGCATTAGGACCCACAGACCGCAGGGTGAGTGCCCTCTGCTAGCCCCACTAAAGTACTAAAAGCGTACTTGGTTTTAAAGTGCCTGTGATTAGGGATGTTAAACGTGTTCAAGTAACTTTATTAGAAAACTTTATATAAAATTAAACAAAGACACAACACTATGAAAACTTAATGTCATGGCAATAAGTTAGTTGGTTGGACTGCTGCTGCCCTTCCTACATGTAATTACTACTGACATACTATTACCTCTTCCCATCCTAGTGCTTATGGACCATGTTATGTTATGGACATGTTCATGTCCCTGCCACATTTCATGTTACTTATCTGCCCCTTTGTGGATTAACGTGCATGCCCCAATCCCTCAACATTCTTTACATTCCACAGAGCCCATCACATCTGTACAAACCAGTCTGATTGGTCGGAAAACCACAACTACTGTATGTACACAAAGTCACTCTCAATCACACACCTTCATGGAGAAACAGCAGCTGGAGCTTTAACTCTTTACAGACAAAGCACTCACTGTCTTTTCCAACTGCATTTGGGCATCACTGTAGCTACACTCACTGCATGTTTCTCGGACAGCATTTTTTAAAAGTTTTTTCCTCCCCACCTTATCAACCGTGAAGGAACACCTGCTGCAGTCCGTTCCAGAAACAGAATATATTAATAAACATATCAAGAACACTCCAGAAAAAGAGAAGCTGAAGGGAAACCTTTGCATTGTCATTTTGACTGTCATTCAGCTTTAAAGATATTTCTTATTTTAGATGTTTAAACTATGGAATATCCCACATACAGCAGCATGGTAACTTAGGAGGATATTTTTCTTTACCAGATGTCACAACAAATCAAATATTGACAAGATTGCGTTTCTGCTGCTAAAAGTTTTGTACAACTTTTATAAAGTTGAACCGATCTAAAATGCTCCAGCAACATTTTCCAGTCTTTATTGCGGGAAGTTGGACGGCGAAGAGTTACTTGTCAAGTAATCCTACTTTACTACATTTAGACTGCTTAAAATATCAGTGACTATTGCTGTTTGGCTTAAGAAGAATAGACTGTTTCAAGTGGTCACAGGCTCTCATGCAGACCTTTACATGTCAAGTCTTATTTACTTTCCACTTCCATGACAAAAACAGGATTACTGCCGGACTGCTGATGCTAAAAAACAAGAAGAAACTGTACAGCTAGACAGAACTTGTACACCAACATGTACAGTTATACACCCTTGTACACCAAGGGTAGACATTGCAACAAGCTGTTTGAATAAACAGTAAACACCCAATAAACCTGGGTTTCAAACATCCCTGTATTAAAAGCATGAAATCAGCATTGTTGGAAGTGCTTATTTTATCACAGGTTCTTATTAGGTTATTGGGCAGTATTCCCATTTCATTTTTGTGTTCAAAATCAGATGATCTGTTTGAAAATGGAACTGGAAGGTCATCCAAATCATTTTTTATTGTAATAGGTTATGGCTTCAAGAGGAAATACTCTCCCTGTCTCTTAAAGACAAATTGACTGCTGTTAACCACATTGTTAAAGAATAAGCACGTGAAGTTCAAACAATCCATGCCTGGAAAAGAAAAGGAGGAGCTGGTCACTGCTGAGACAGTGGACTTCGCAGAATGGAAAAGAAAGGAGGAAGGCCAATTTGAGTAAATCATATGAGCTCTGCTTTTCTGGTTTACAAGTCAGACAAAATAGTGTCTGTCGATGGACCAGCTTTAATTAAAAAAAACTCACAACTCTTCCACTGCTTTACCGCTAATTTGAGATTGTGTGTCAGTGAAGTCTGATGGCATGGCATTTTAAGATGGCATTTTAAGTGATGGCATGGATTGCCCATGTCTACTTTAGGTTATGAAAGAGGATGTGCTACTAAAGGAAGGTATGCTACCTACAAGGTAAATTTCACTCATGAGAATTGAGATGACAGATTTGAGAAAATCTACAATTCTGATGAAATAGGACCTTTTTGGAACAAATGCCCAAAAACATTCTTGGCAAAGGATGATGGTGCCTTTATTCAAACTTAGTGAAGTTTATATTTCCCTTTTGCTGCATGCCAATGCAACAAAAAAAAAAAACAGTTGATGCTGCTGGTTATGCTGCAGCAAAACTTCACTTTTTAAAGAACACAAAGATAGCAAATCTCCAGGATGGCTGTTGGATAATATGATCATTGGTTTCAGTGCTACTCAGGTAAATTCAGACATGAAAATGAAGAATTTGCAAGAACACACATTGTTACTACAATATTGCCACAGTGTAGAGTAAGATTAGACAAACTACTTCAATAAGGCACTTATGTGAAAATGTGGAGATCTCGAATGACGTTCCGGTTCAAAATGAGGATTAAGTTGCTGTTGAAAATGCAGACCTTGGTTTGTATGGGTTAAATCGCAGTATGTTACTGAGCACTTAGAGGAATACCAATATGAGCTTACAACTGTACAGTGTTTTGAGCTTTTTAGTGAAAACCACGGATTGGATTTAAGCAACAACAATGTAGAATAATAACATATACAGCAGTGATCTTACAGTTAGTGCCAGAAGTGACTTATTTAGGTGGTTTGGCAACTTGTTATAAACGTGTAAGAAGCAAGCAAACCTACAATACCATAGGAGTCTGAAAATGAGGTGTAGTTAAGGAACACTCAAGAACTATGTCAGTGACTTTCTTAAACCACCTGAAACAGGAACTCTAAATTCTGAATTATGTACAAGTTATGTATAAGTTTATAACAATTGTTTTTACAATTGTACTTCTGTGATAATTTCTATTCCCGTTTTCCTCTCCTGTACAGATTG